GTCCCATTCGTGTTTCTACCGTGAAGCAGTTGTGTTTGCATGGCTGTGTTCCGGTTTGAAGGGTGGGATATAGCGTGAATTTACAGGGTACAAAGGAATAACATCTGAGTCCTTAGGAATGGCAACGCATGGGGGGTATCATGGGCGAAACAGTATAGTCTCTTATGTCCATGGTAATGCTCATGTCTATAGGCGACGATTACCACTTTCCATAAAATGGGCCGTCAGATTGTTTGCCATTCTAAGTTGTATAAAAAAAAATATAACATAAGTTTGAGTTCCACAAAAAAAAACCTACTTCAATTATAGCAAAACCATTTATTTTTATTTAAAATCTAAACCAATAAGTCAAATTTGATAGCTTTTTATGGGACCAATTTGTGAGTATTACTAAGTATATTCTTTAAGAGAAACAATTGTACAAATCAGTTTATAACTGACAGTGTTATTAGGTAAGAAAGACAAAAAAAAAACTAATTGAAGAAGATTTTAACAAATAACTAGTCGACCCCGACAAAGTTCCTTTGTCTCATTTAAAAATATTGATGGTCATTTATCGTGATAAAAACTGTCCTGTCTCTAAAGTTAAAGCAAACAAAATACATTTATAAGATATCTTTAAAATCAGTTGACGTAGGGTGACACCATTTATATCTTATGACCCGAAAAACGTTGTTCTGCCACAAGAATTAATCATAATGGTTTCTAGGGGAACCGCGTGCAGGTCGACATGATAGAGTATATTGCCAACAATGGGGATGTTAAATTACAAACAAAATATTGTAAAGTATATTTATAAAATATACAGGTATATATGTATGGACAGAGGTACCCAAGCAATCGACTTTTGTACAAAGTCTTCCTCTGGTAACAGACATGTTACAACACACACGTATTAGAGGAAAGGGATTGTTAGTAATGAGATAATCTCTAACAGCTACACTACTATCAATATTCCTTATTCCCTATCAGATCGACGTCCGCGTGATCCCCCTTAAAAACCACCATGGTTTTTTTTTTTTTTAATTCTAACGATGGTCCAACTAATTTGATTTAATGGGATGAAAAGGATTGTTAGTAACGGGATCTAAAAACCAGAGTATACCTACTGTTCCACCCATAATACCCAACATTTATTGCCATTCTTGAAGACTATTGTGTTATGCCTCTGTACTCTGTAAATTTACTGCCATATTGGGAAATGGTAGTGAATTTACAAGGTATAGGGTAGGCCCTTTAAAATATAACACAGCAAAGCCCCATGCAAACACAAATGCTTCATAGTAGAAATGCGAATGGGACAGAGGTACCCAAGCAAACGACTTTTGTACAGTCTCCCTCAGGTAGAATATCAGAACAATGTTATCAGTATGAATTTTACGACACATTTAGTTGCTTTACTATTACTACCTTTTACACTGTTTTCATAGGGATTTCTGTCTGTATTTACTAATACTAATTTCACACAAACCGTCGTCATGGGTAACATATTGAGAGAAGCACGCTATGAAAGTAATTTTAGGGTCCCGCATAAAATACAATCGTACCAATTGCATCAAACTTATATACTCACTGCCACAGAAACCGCAAAACAAACATCGAAATAGAACAATCCAGAATACATGAAATCGAAATATCACCCACATCTTCCGCGTGACCGGAATATGTTCATTGACCAAGATAAAAAATAATCTAGTTCCTTCTCCATCGCATATAGTACCTGTAAATTTTATAACGATACGCCAAATTGTTAAGTAGCCAAGAGGCAACAAACAGACGAACATACTCAATTTCACATCTATAATATTAGTCAGAAGAAGTACATAGTTCATATCAGTCTTCTTAATATTTACATTTAAATAGCTAAACAGATTTTGATAAAATTTCGTGTATAATATACTCAAATCTGCCGAAGGATATAAACTAAGTACTTTTTGAACAACCCCTAATAAAATAGCATTAGCCAAGACGGTAGTACAAGGTACAAATTGAAAAAAAATATAATTCACCAACATCAATGTCTCTGCTAAGTATTTTGGCGGGAACAATAAAGAATATCTAAAGAGTCTACGGAACCTCATCCCCATAAGTTCGTTTTATCTTATTAACGACACAAAATCTCTCTGTAAATGTGTGCGTAACTACCTGCCGTATCCGGTAGCTACGCGTCACGCCTGTTAGCCTGTTACCATTTCAAAATAAAACAAAAAAAATTAAACTCGTATTTAACAATTAACACCCCATCCATCGCTCTTTATAGCTGGACAACAAGAAGCGAAGAGTTATCGTTTAAGCAATGGAATGTAAAATTATTCGAGGCCTGCTAACACGTCATTATTTATTATTATTGACATTGAAAAAATAGTCGAGCATGTCCAATGGGGACGGCTCGCGTCAATTTGGTTCGGGATAAGAAAGTAGATAATTATGTAGAGGTTTTTTATCGTCTTATCCTTAACTAACTGTAACCTGCTTTGTCTGTTTTGACTTAGGATAGAAAGTAGCTTAATCCAGGACACGGTCCATCTGTTATCATAATTCGTTCAAAACCGTCCAATCATTTAAACGTAATTGAGAGACGAATAACCAAATTTTTACATTTTATTAAAAAGGCAGTCGGTTTTCAGGTTTCCGTGCCTGATAATAAAGGTGGAACCCTTATAAAAGCCCTTTGCTATTCGTCTGTCAAGCCCCTTTTTCTCAGAAACGCATGGAAAAATCAAGCTGTAATTAATATCAAATACTCCAAGTCTGCAAGTCCTTGAAGCTGTGAAAAAATTAAACTTCTAAAGTAGGAAATCAAAAGATTCGACCGAATTTGAAAAAAGAAATTTGGTTGGAAACAATGTCATACAGCACAAGTAAGTGGAAATATCAGAAAATTTCAAATTTGTATTTAAATCACAATCATATATTATTCATATATTTTTCCCAAAAAAAACGACTTCAAATGTGACAAAATATTTTTTTTTATCTCATAATTAATGTACTAAAACGATTTAAATAAAATAATATATATAGGACCAATCTGTAAATATATCCTTTTAGATAAAAAGAATTTTCCAAATCGGTTTACAACTAACGGAGTTATGAGGTAACAAACATTAAAAAAAAACATACAACCGAATTGAAAACTCCTTCTTTTTGAAAAAAATTTTTGCAATGTTTTAATTATAATTGTACAGAAACCCCAATACGCGAGCCCTTCTCGCACTTGGCCGGTTTGTTCATTATAATAACCCATGAATTTCATGGATAAAAAAGTTGACCTGTTTTGGCGAAGTATTTGTAGGGAGACACTCTAGCTATATAGGAGTAATCAAAGCAAAAACCATAATATTTTAAAACAAATACATATACAGAGGGGGGAAAGGGATTGTTAGCAATGGAGCTTGACAAGCAATGGACTTGCTAGCAATATGCCCTATTAGGTCGACCTCCACGTAGTTCCCCATGGAAACCATTGTGAACAATTCTTGTTGAATTCGTCACAATGGGCTAACTGACCTGCTTCATCCTCACCTATCATCCTTCACTGGTGCCCCGCCGGTGTATACCGATAGCGCGGGTGGGGTTACCATTCCATTATCATCCATTAAAAAAAATACATATACAGAGGGGGGAAAGGGATTGTTAGCAATGGAGTTTGACAAGCCCATTGCTAGCAATATGCCCTATTAGGTCGACCTCCACGTAGTTCCCCATGGAAACCATTGTGAACAATTCTTGTTGAATTCGTCACAATGGGCTAACTGACCTGCTTCATCCTCACCTATCATCCTTCACTGGTGCCTCGCTGTATATATACCGATAGTGCAGGTGGGTTAGCATTCCATTATCACCCATTAAAAAGAAATACATGCACAGATATATATTTGCAAAAAAAAATGACAGTAATTAATTAAAGCGCTACATGTCACATTTGTTAATTAGATATTAAAACATTCGCCTAGTTAGTCAATAAGTGGTTAACATAAATAAACATTACGCAATTATAAGGTTCACAACTATGGGTCATGAATTCCTCTACACTACGGTACTAGTGTAGTATTTATCTGTGACTATAGTAATAGGGGTCACAGATTACTTAATAGCATAGATAGATAAAAATATTTTAACCGTGTTAATATACAGTAACGATACATTGAACGATACAGTTCAAATTCTTTTTATTATTCTCATAAAAAAAATATATGACTTATTATAGAAAATTATATAAATCGATTTAAAATACCTTACAAAGTACCCATTTTAGAGCATCTGGCAAATTTTATACAATAATTAAGATTTTGTGTCATAAAATAAAAAAAATTCAATTGAGGCAAAAGCAGTTTTTTTGATATATATAAACTAAACTACTAAACCGATTTTGATAAAATTTCTATGGGACTAATCTATAAGTACATATATATCCTTTCAGATAAAAAAATCCAAATCCATTTATGATAGCGGAGTCATGAGGTAGCCAACTTAAAAAACAATGCAACCAAATTGAGAACTGCCTTTTACTGAAGTTGGTTGAAAACAATGTAGACTACATGGCTATCATTACAACATACACCGATGATGTCTACACATACATCTTAAATATGCACGTGTTAGCATATATTGAGCGCTATATGTTACATTTTAGAATAATCATATTATTTTGATAGAGATGGTGGGAATTGTCATAATATTGTTATACTCATATAAGTATACAGTAATTAATCTAATTAATTAAGTGCGATTAAATTTCATATACCATATTAAAATAATTATATTATTATTATATTTCTTTATTAACCAATGTAACAATTTTCGTCACACAATGGCAAGTAAATATTTATAATTAATTAATAAATAATTTTTAAATCAATAAAATAAACAATAACAATTATAATAATATTTGAAACATAAATAACAAAACAATATTATAAATTAATTACAGTACCTACATGTCAATATAATGGTAATTACATATCAAGAATGGTGACTAGAATTAGTCAATAATTACACACCTGCTAGTGCCGGTACAATAGCTGCTAAAAATAACTGCAAGATAAACGTTGACGCCATTTTGATCTGGAACAAAAAAATTATTATTCGTTTACAAATACATGTAAAACGTTTAGCTGAGAGATTTTATTTATTTTTTTAATGGGTGATAATGGAATGGTAACCCCACCCGCGCTATCGGTATACACCGGCGGGGCACCAGTAAAATATATAATAGGTGAGAATGAAGCAGGTCAGTTAGCCCATCGTGACGAATTCAACAAGAATTGTTCACGATAGTTTCCAGGGGGAACCATGTGGAGGTCAACCTAATAGGGCATATTGCTAGCAATGGGCTTGTCAAACTCCATTGCTAACAATCCCTTTCCCCCCTAGCTGAGAGATTAGTTAAGGATGTAATTAATAATATTCAGTACAACATAATGTTAACAATCATCATAAAATAACATAACCATAATTGAATTAGAACGATATTATCTAGATCCCAAAATTTACTATTAAGTAGTATACATTTACCAGAGGGAGACTTTGTACAAAAGTTGTTTGCTTGAGCACCTCTGTCCCATTCGTGTTTCTACCGTGAAGCAGCTGTATGGCTGTGTTTCGGTTTGAAGGGTGGTATATGGCAGTAAATTTACAGGGTACAGAGGAATAACACCTGAGTCCTCAGGAATGGCAACGCATGGGGGATATCATAGGCGAAACAGTTATATCCATGGTACTGCTCATATCTATAGGCGACGGTTACCACTTTCCATCAGGTGGGCCGTCAGCTTGTTTGTCATTCTAAGTCGCATAAAAAAATACATGATTAGATGTTATGAGTGTATAAACCGAAAAAACAATTATATTATGTAATTAAAACAATTATACAAGCAAATAAAGATAATAATCACCTCCCTACTACCCTTAGTAACTAAAATTAATTGTAATATAAAGAATAGATCAGAGATGTTTAAAATAATATTATAGGTGTTTATATAAAACGGACACCAGTAAGCACTCCGACATCTAATTCAAATGAAACAATAAATTAATTTCAACGCAATATTAAGTCCCCGCACCAGAGGTCGTTAATTCGAATCTTACTGATTAAATTTATTTTATTATTATTATTTAATTTTATTATTATTTATTCTAATTAAATTTATTTTGTGTGCAAATTCAAATTTCCGACTAATTACAGTTGATTTGAACCACTTTCAATAAAAAAAATCTTATTGGGAAAAGTTGCATATAGGGAAAAAAGGAGTACAAAAATACTTACTCCCTGGAAAATATTTTTACTTATTTCTTTTACTAACTGGACTGAGTAGAATAAACAAAATATAAATAATGTAGCTTATATAGAGCGTTCACTGTATCACCAGAGGGAGACTTTATACAAAAATCGTTTGCTTGGGTACCTCTGTCCCCATTCGTGTTTCAACCGTAAAGCAGTTGTGTTTGCATGGCTGTATTTCGGTTTGAAGGGTGGGATATGGCGTGAATTTACAGGGTACAGAGGAATAACACCTAAATCCTCAAGAATGACAACGCATGGGAGGTATCATGGGCGAAACAGTATACTCTGTTATGTCCATGGTACTGCTCATGTCTATAGGCAACGGTTACCACTTTCCATCAGGTGGGCCGTCAGCTTGTTTGCCATTCTAAGTTGTATAAAATAAAAATCTTGTAATGGAAAACACCGATAACAAACTAGACTAATTCGAGTGACGGCGGTGAGCTCGCCCCACGCCTCGATGGATTTTCACAATTTTGGTAAATGTGGGTATATTCACCAGAACGATAATAATAGCCTAGAAATATAAAAATTAGAGATTACAGTCGTCTCGCGAACATTTTATTTATTTATATTTATTACGTTTTTCGCTAAAGAAATATAATGAGAATAAAAAGAATAATGATATGTCAAAATACTAACAAGGCTCTATTAATAAAGTATTGAAGATATTCTGTGATTACATGGTATTCCAATACCTAATATTATCAAGTCTCTGCGACAAATGTGTTCTGGAAACTTAGGTCATAGGTGTCGATTCAAATTGAGATCTGTCTCGAACTTAGGTTTCGAACGACGTCAATTTAGCATGTCTACATGTAGCTCGTCAATATACAAATTTGGAAGCGATAAACTTGTAGGTATATGGTAGAAATACTAAATGGTCATGCGAGATCGATATAGTCTTGTTAATTTTAAATTATTATCTAAATACAATACAAATATTGCAAAGAATAAAAATTATTTACCTTAATATAAATACGTTTAGTTATTTCTAAAGATGATGAAATAATTTAAATATGGAATGAAAACAAGACACAACACTTTCGCCAGAAAAAAAAGTTTTGTTTACAAAATAAAAGAAATAAATCATTCAAAAATAGAATGTTGTAATACAAAACCGTATGTGCACGTGACCAAACGCGAAAGTTATATGTTAAAAACGTGCCCAACCGTTACAATCCCTTGTTATATTTTTAACTAAGTTATAACAAGAAAATGAAAAGTTCAGTCATGCAGGATAAAGCAAATCCATAATTAAGACGAATGTAAATTACGCCATTTATAAAACAATATCATGCCTATTTTCAAACTACTGTTAGTGCCATCAAATATGTAGAATCCTGGACTTATAATATTATGTAGATATGTATATATATATATATATATATATATATATATATATATATATATATATATATATATATATATATATATATATATATAAAAGATATAAAAGAAAATAATTATAAAAAAACTACGTACATATCTACATAATTTTATATCCTAACATAAAACACACCAAAAAAAGGTTTCATCATCAACATCATCATATCAGCCTTTAACTGTCTACTGCTGAACATAAGCCTCCCCTTGGGAGGTTTTGTCAGTAGTTGCCACGCTTGGCAGGTGGATTAGTAACCGCAGTCATGCTTTAGAGATGTATTTAGAGGGACGCTACTGCCTATCCCTCGCCCTCCCTCAGTCGGCTCTTACGACACCCACGAGATAAGAAGCGGTACCCTATTCTATGCCGGGACCACACGGCCAATTATATTGAATTAACAAAGAATTGTATATATATTATTACATTTGTAAAAATATTATTGCATAAGTATTGTATGTAACGAATTAATTTCATTGTTCATAGAAAGGGCCTCTAGCAATTTACATACATAATGGGACTTATAGAGATAAATAATATATTTTACATGTAAACCAATTATCTATTTACGACCAAGTAGTCAGCCCCATTCTGTACTATTTTATTCGCAGATTTTAAAATTTCTCAATAGATTCTCGTAACTACTCTATTGAGGGAATGCTGCAAGGCGTGTACTTTATTTTTTAAATGGATGATATTGGAATGATTACCCCGCCTGCGCTATCGGGATACACTGACTGGGCACCAATGAGGGATGATAGGTGAGGATGAAAAGGCAGGTCAGTTAGCCATCGTGACAAATTCCACTAGAATTAACCACGATGGCTTCCAGGGGGAACCGCATGGAAGTCGACCTGATGCTGACTATAATATAGTGAGGAATGATAGGTGAGCAATGGGACGAATGTTGATGCTATCAGGTCACTTGAAAATGTTATAGTAACCCCGCCTGCGCTAACGTTATACGCTTGCGGCGCACCAGTGAAGAGTGATAGATGAGAATCGGATTGTATTTATCCAAAATTTACCAGGATGGTTTAGCATGGGATTCTCTGGGGGAACCGCACTACATCGATTTTTTTGACGGATGAAAATGGAATGGTCACCTGCGTTATCTTAAGAATATAATACTAATAATAGATCAATCCCTATAAGGTCTTTTTTTTATACAACTTACCACCAATCCATTTTCTATCAAAAAAAATTTTTTATACAACTTATGGATTATGGTATATTAGAATGTTTAATAAATAAATAAAATAAAAATAATAATAAATTGCAAACAAGCTGACGGTCCATCTGATGGACTGCATGATGTTTATCAGTGGTCGATATTCTTAGTCGCCTATAGACATGAGCAAACAGTACCATGTTAACATAACGTCGCCTATAGACATGAGCAGTACCATGTTAACATAACAGAATATCTGTTTCGCCCATTATACCCCACATGCGTTGCCATTCCTGAGGACTCAGATGTTATTCCTCTGTACCCTGTAAATTCTCGCCATAACCCACCCTTCAAACCGAAACAGCCATGCAAACACAACTGTTTTACGGTTAAAACACGAATGGGACAGAGGTACCCAAGCAAGCGACTTTTGTACAAAGTCTCCCTCTGGTAAAAAGGTCTTTTTATTAACCCTTTACACTCCGTTGTCGCCATATAATATTTGCGACATTAAAATGCTAACATTAAATCCATTATCGCGGTTACGACGACACGGTTGTTTTACTGACTCAGCGCCCATAATACTTAGGTAAGCGAAATCGTTTATGTCTATCTTATGGTGTTTATCATATGTTTATTATATTAACATTATAATAAGTTATTGATAAGTTAATGAATTATGGGTATCCTCTATGAGTTACTAGACTGGATTGCAAAGGGTTAAAATCCCTCTCCTCCCGCACTACTCCAGGTGGCCTATCAGCTTGTCTGCCATTCTAAGTACCTGTTCTAAGGAAATTTCTAAGAGGTTTTAATACGAATGTAACCTAGTTGCTAAAGCAAACGAGCTCTAGTTCGTAGTCGGAGTTAGTGACAGATTGATAGGAAATTACTCATCTGACTGGGGTTGCCAGTATATTGAAGGCTTGATAAATTGACCAATTTCGTTGAAAAGAATCCATTCATCATTATGATCGCATTTTTAGGGTCCCGTAACCAAACGGCCCGTCTGTCCGTGCATTGTAATAGTAACATCTTAAATAGTGATGTAGCGAATCGTTAAAAACGTATTTATTGATCAGTATACTAGATTCAGGAATACGGACATCTAGATTTTTTTAGTTTAAAAAAAATAGTACCTTTCAAAATAGGTATCAATTAAAGTATCGTATATGTTATGGTCTTGTGGTCCCGGCATAGAATGGGGCACCCCTCCCTTTCTCGTG